GTCACTGAAAAGTGGAGATGCAAAATTGCATTATTGCAGTAGAGGAAGAGGCCAAGGAAGGACAGATGCCACAGTAGCACAGCCTGTTGCTAGGCTGAGTTTGGGAAGTGAGATCACTCATGAAGAACAACACTGTTTTGTCCACTCTTGCCAAGTGACTGTGTAGTGCTTTTCAGTAAACCACCTTTCTGGGTTTGGGTAAAGCACCAAGCCACCACGGATATGTAGGACACTAAAACAAACTCTCAGGGTGCCTTCTTAGAGAAAAGTAAGCCACCCTGCTAAAACCATGGGATTCAGACAACAAGAATACCTACCATGTTGATTAGCTATGGTAGGATTTCACGTCAACTGAACCAGGTCACTATAACTTGAATGACTTTGAGAAGGACAGAATAAATTATTATTGTAAATCGAAGCAAACATGAGTAAGTTATGAGCTATTTGACAGATGGAAAGCAGGCTGGTGACTAATGTGAAGAAAAAGATAATTTCTTTATATTTTCCACCATAGAAAGATTGTAAGGCGTATAGGAGGAACTTACAGTACAGTAGACTCAAACTAAATTATTTATTTATTTTTATACTGCCCAATAGCCAAGGATCTCCAGGCAGTTAATGAAGTTAACTTTGTGAGATAGTTAAATGAATTCATTGGTCAAATTTTGTGCTTTTCGATAAAGTTCTGGTCAGCAACTGTTGCTCTTCTTCATTTCTTTGGTTTGGGATCTGAATAATGATAACCATTTGTATAGTGGTTCCATTGTCCAATGTGCTTCACATGCATTTATCTAGTGGGAATCCTTACATTAACTCTAATGCATATGAGGGGACTAAAGCTTAGAGATAGTAGCTTGCCCCGAGAACACCTTGGGAGTTCATGGCAGAGGCCAGATTCAAATTGTGGAATTCCTGACTCATGGTGCTGGAAGGCAGTGTGTACATACATCCTCATGCAGTCCTGGCTCCAGATTGTTGGGTGCCCTTGGTCAGGATGCCGTCATTTAGTGTCTTCCCTCACTGATTCTGCCTTCTCACTGCTGTGGTCACTTGTTGTTACTGCTCCTCATCCTTTCTGTCACTGCTGCTTCTACTTGCTTGTTGACCAACAGAAAGCCAGGAAGCAAGTAGCCAGCAACATCTACTGCTCCGCCTTCTCGCCACCATGTTGCCTGGACCAGAGTGAGAGGGGCAGGTGGACAAGCAGATCATGAGCAGGAGAAGCAAGTCCAGAGGGCTCATGAGTGAGGGTTGGGCCCTTGGCAAATGACCAGCCCTACCTACTCCTGATGGCAACCCCATTCTCATCTAGTGCTTCAGAGAGGGTGCAGGAATGGAAAGTTCCCTCTAGGAATTAAATTGACTATACCAGAACAATGCTGATGTGGTCTAGCCAATTTAATTAATGTCATCCCCCCCACCCCCTGGTGACTTGTAAAAAATTGAAGAAGACATTACAACTAGGAAGGTGCAGCAAGCGGATATTCCTTCCCCCCACCCAAGATACTGTCATTTTTTCCACCATTTTATTTGTACAGGTAAGCTATAATCACATGTGATCCAATAACAGAATAAAGGAAGTCACTCCCACAGGGAAGTGATAATCTATGCAAAGTTCCATAATGGCAGCACTTGCCATTATGTTTTTCTATCTCAATTTTACCCCTGAGTTTGCATAGTAGAAGAATCTGGGAACAACATTTGGAAGATTAATAATTAAGGACATCTTGGTTCCTACAGGGAGAGCTTTGTGGGCATCATAGCTTCTTCTGAACCCATTTGGAAGAGAATCATCTTCCTACCTTGGATGCTGGAAAATGGTCTTACTCCAGAAGTCAAACATTTCTTATTTAATAGCAGTTTCAGGCTGTGATTGATACCATAAATTTAATTTTAAAATTTTTTCTTCATAGGTTGCCTCAACACTCTCTGGTTTGAAATGATGAATGATTTTTTTAAAATCAGTATTACAAAACATACAAACCTAACTGCATGGTATATATTATACTTGTGTTAAGTCTGACAAGTGCTTTGACAAACGAACTTCTCTCATTATGCAAAAGTAATGATATATCTGAATCTAAATGAAGAGTTTTGCAATGCATCCTTAATAACAATTCCCCACCTCCAAAATCTCTTCACTTTATTTTAATCTATTTAAATATTACTCCATTACTGTGATGTAATGTTTAAAGTAAGTGTGGGTATTTTTTTTACTAACCAGAACTGACTAGTTTTCATAGCTTGAAAGCGCTTCTGGGTCTAGCCCTCCTCCTGGGTGGCCAGGCTAGGATAGCCACATGCCACAATTTAGGGTTCCATCCTGTAGTTTCATTAGCTGATCACGCTAATTAGCTGATTTATTTTATTAGCTGATTAGCTGATTACTTTGATTAGCTTCTTATACAGAAGAGGAGATTTGTAACAGCTAAAATCACCATTTCTGCACAACTATTAAAGGTGCAGAAGACTTGTCATTTTTTATATCAGGCCATCCTAGTTAGGACTATGGCCAGAAGCACATTCTATCAATCCTAGCTGACATCTTTCCAGGCTAACTCAAAGCACTAGTCCAGGTGGTATCAGACTGGGCAACATATATTTTTATTTTTTTTAACCTGCCCAGGGAGCCTTATGGTTAATGGGGTGGGATAAAAATCTAATAAATAAATAATAGGCTACAGATTTTTCTGCAATTTTTTAACAGACCCTGCTGCCCCCACCCCCAAGTTACAGCAGTTTTTTTGTGGCACAGTAGCAATAGCAAAAAGGCTGCATTTTCATTTTTAAAAAAGACATCCAGTCAGTGTAGGCATTTCTATATTGCCAAGTAACCAAAGTTTTTCGGGCATTTCACAGCTGTTTAAACCATAAAATATGAATTCACAATAAACCTTAATTTGTATTTTTTTTTAGGTTAAGACCACTATTTAAAACCAAGTGAAAAACCAATAGCACTGCAAAGATTTAAGAATACAATAATAGATTTAAAGCATTGAAAACTAAATAAATAAAATGCCCAGGCAAATAAAAATAAAAAGGTCTTCACCAGGCACCAAAAACCCTACAAGGTAGGTTCCAAGTAAGTTTTTTTTTTTTTTTTTTTTTTTTTTGAGGAGAACACCCCACAACTGAAAAGCGTATATTATCTTTGACCAGAAAGTCCATTTTTGTTCCACCTGGAAAGAAATATATTTAACTTCAGGGTGGCGTGGGGGACAGAAAGCATAGTCCAGAACAAAGTTGGCCTAAGACATTTTGGTTCCAAAGGTGTAAATAAATAAAATCTGAATGAAGAGAAATTCTCTCTTCCTATACACACCTTTGTCTGCTGACAATAAAAAAATACATTGATGTTTGTATTTTTGATTGATGTATGTACATTGATGTATGTAATACACTCTGGTACTCCTGGAGGTCCCCAAAATCTGCAGATGGGAGCACAACAGCACAGCTAGCCTTGGCGGGAATTTAATCCTCGATGTGAGTGTGTGTTGATTTTAACATAACCATTTGTGTTTCTTCTGCAAGCTGTAGTCCTTTCGCTCACACTCTTCCAAAGGTTTCACAAGGGTACGCAAATGGCAGTCACATCCCTATAGGTTTTATCACATACCCCAACAGAGTGACATTTCTAGCAAGCTTTTCCAACTTGTTACATTAACAAATTTGCACTGATTTCCTTATCCTGTCATCTAAAGACCACCTTGTAGTAAGACAGTGAACTTTTAAAGCATTCCGGAGCCCATGTACTGTCTAATGTCACAAGTGTCTGCTCACATTACCTCACGAAAGCTTGAGAAGGTTCTACATTGTGCTTTCCTTTTGAGCTTGATTTGACAGAATCAGTCCCCACGCTAGCTCATGGCACTTATCAGTTAGTCAGCCTTCCTCCGGGAAGAGAATTTAGAGTGCACCATATTCTGTTTTCAAATCAAGCCCCGTCCCCTTAGGAATCTGCCTGCTGCATTATTAAATAGGGTGCCATCAGCCATACCAGCATGCATAAACATTCAGTCAGATAAAAGACTACATCATTATGTTAACCCTTCTTTCGTTCGTTCGTTCTTTCTTTCGTTCTTTCTTTTTAAAAAATCCATTCATCTTTTAGTGATCAGAAATGGAACTCTGGGGGACAAAGGAGAACTTTCCCCAATAAAAATCTTTGGGCATGAGCCATTCAGAGCAGAGTGGGATATGGATGGTACAAAAGCCCTTAGTACCCTTTCACGTAATGTGTACAATGAGCACATGGTGGAGGCAATGCAGGATATAGTCTGCCATGCCAGCCTCTGACCTTGTTGGTCTACCACATAAAACAACTGTATAAACAATCAAAGAAAGAAAGAAGTACCTGTTTTGTTTGTTTGTTTTTACATGGTGCAATCTCCATTCTCTATGAGATCCTTCAGTTTGGCTTTTGTTTGAAAACAGCACTTTCTATAAGTCGTTTTAGAGCAGTGGCCTTCAGACTTGAGATATCTGAGGAACTCTTCCCAGTGTGAAAAATCAGTGTGGAACCCATTAATAAATACGTTTCATATAATACATCTTATTTCCAAAAATGTTACAATTCATGTTGCAATAACACCTTTCATGCAATGCAAACAGAAACTATAACTGCTTTAAAGAACCCATTTATTACTTAGCAACTAAATAACATTTAAAAATTTACTGAATACATACTAAATTCTACTATAACATCACTAACAAATAATATGAAAAAATATACTTCATTTTAATGACTTGGGTGTATTTGGGGTTTTTTTGCCACAAAGAAAATCAAAATTTGTGTTACTGGTGACAGTTGTAAACACATTTCTGGGTCTGCATTAGTTTCATTCCTGTATTAACCCTGGATGATTGTTATTCCTTGCAATTTGAATCCAACTAAATGAAAACACTTTGGCTTTAAAATGAATTGATCTGCTTTTAAAAGTATGTGTGTAAAGGCTCTGAATTAAAATGAATGAATACCTTATGTTGTCTCTCTTAAACAGAACAGAGGAACGAAGATCTTACAATTTCACTGTAATCAGAAGAGTAAACAACTGGATGATTCTCATGGAACCTTGGAATCCGAGGGAACACAGCTGGAATATTGCACTTTTAGAACAAAGAAAATGGGGTATTCATTCTAATGGCGAAAAAGTGCATTTTCCTAATCTCTATTTGTGCTATTCTACTATACCATATTGCCACCTGGAGGTCATATAGCAGAAGAATAGGAAAAGAAATGCTGCTTATGCAGTGTCTGAATCTCAGTTCTACAACAAATCTTAACGGAGATGCAATGGACTAACAGCCTCATTTAGCAAAGGCTCTCTGCTAAGTAATTTGGATGAAATATTTAATGGAAAACCCCACCATGCAGATGAGAGACAGTCTGCCTTGAGACAGACCTTTGCTTTTAATTGATTTTGCATGCTTCTTGCTTTAGATAATTTTGGAAATACTGAGGACACGTTGCAAAAATGTCAACATAATAGAAGATATATTGCTTGATTGTATCATTAGAAAAACAGGAAATATTTCTTAAGGATCAAATCCCTCTGGGATGTGGTTCTCTATTTCCCAAGCAACCCACTACTTTAAATTTCCCATGGGCTTACTCTTCCTGGTAAGTTCAGAAATGGACTCACAAGCTAGTTGGTTCTCTAGTGCAGTCTTTCC